AGTGAGAAAGATTGTCGCTGAGCTAACACTTGTGCTAATCTTCCTCTATTTTGTATGTGGGTTGCCGCCACAGCATGGCTTGACAAGCAGTGTGTAGGTCCATGCCTAGGATCCGAACCTGCAAATCCTGGGCCGCCAAAGCAGAACACACAAACTTAACCACTACACCACCAGGCCAGCCCTAGTTTAGATGTTTTTAAACTTGTCAAATACAGCTTTGATAATTTTGTCAAAGAATACGTGTGTGCTTCATAGAAGTGTTAGTACATATATAGGCTGAAATATGAATCCAGCAGTTTACCATTAGCCACCAGATTAAGCCAAACATTCCTGAATTCAACCTGGATTTCACAGCCTGGCATCAATCTCTAATCTGGTAGAGCCACTGCCTCCAGGTGGGCCCTGTGCAGCCCTGCCTGGAAAGCCTTCTTTCCACCTCTTGCACCATCTCATCATACCAACCCTTCCAAGCCCTGTCCAGGCCAACTGCTCCTGAGCCTGAACCCCTGACTCCTTCATCCCACTCTTCCTCACCCTCCTTTCCCACCACTTAGTAACTATTCCAAACACTTGTTTCTTATCTCATCAGCTAACGTTTCATGAGTATCCATATCTGCTTTATTAGAGAGGCAAGAACTATCTAGAACCATTGCCTTCCAATAGCATCAAGAAAGTGCACAGCAGTCAATAAGTCCTCATTAAACACAGGTGTAAATGTGAAGCTAGTTGATAAAATAGTAAAATTTTTATTATATTATAACAAAAATAATGAGATCTGTGTTTATAATGTCATCCAATTTGATAATACCAACCACCCCTGAATGCGCAAGACAACTTACTATTGTTCTCTGCATAAATCCTTATGACGGGCATCAACTCAAAGAGCACTTTCGGTTTGGACTCAGTGAGTTTCACGTTCCTCTTGTCCCAGCCAGCACCTTCCAAATATAGGCCGTAGACGTAGACACCCTCTGTGGGAGGGGAAGAAATGTCGTCCTTCATCCACTTGGTGACTTCATTGCAAAGCACCATATTGTCCAGAGCCCAGCCTTTATTGGCCCGAGTTATTTCCTACTCAAGTCAAGAATAAAAGCAGAGGATGAAATCAACAATTAGAGGTTTGTCTTAATATGAAGAGCAGAGCAGTGATGACAATGTAGCCCCAAATTACCCTAAGTCACAGGAAGCAGAATAGCATTTACAGAGTTAAAAAGAGTCTCTCATAGACAATACTCGTGTCCTCATTTAACACTCTACTTTAAAAAGAAATATGATATAAAATAATATATAAAAATAACAAATAGATATTTTGATTCGAGCTAGCAAGCTGAGAACAAGTTGCTGGATTTATGTTCAGGACAATGTAACTACTGGTGCCATAAAGAGAGAGTCATTCTCTGTCTCAGTATATCCTTTAAAACTATAACGAAAGAAGAAAACCTTGTAGAGGAAAATTGTAATAACACAACGGGTGCAAATCAGAGCTCTTACCTGTCGCATTGCAGTTAAAAATCCTTGGGGGTTAAAAAAGCCCGTCATCCAGAAGCAGTGGGGTCTGCCATTGAAAACCCAAGAGGTGAACTGGCAGTTTCTTTCTATAAGTTCAGTAAACCAGAAACCCAATGTGCCTGAAGCCCAGGATGCCTGAAATGCGTACATTAACGCAACTAATTAGTTCAGGTTTAGTTCTTTTGTATAACTGGCTATGTTCACAAAAAAATGATGAAATATCAATTTCACGTTTAGGATTTAAAAGTCCCTATGACATGAATTTCCCTTGGATTCTGACCTTTAAGTTTTCAAATTATTCTCCCTCTGTAATGATGTTAAGATATAATAGAATTGGCTAATCATCACATGAATTCTCGATCAATTCAGAGCTCAGTGTGCTGTTCAAGATACCTGATGTCAATAGAATCACCTTCCATGTACGAATACATTCATTACCAATTCTGCTATAAAGCAATTAAAACAACTAATTGAATTAAATTTGACAGGTTTCAACTATTTTTCCTCAGGTTACATTTTCAATAGATACACTATAAAACAAGATTTCTATTTACACAAATATGCTCATGGCCTCATCAACACTTTAAAATACATTCAGTGGATGATAAATCGTAGAAGCCTTTCTTTTTTTTTTTTTTTTTTTTATTTTTTTTTTTATTGCAGTAACATTGGTTTATAACATTGTAAAAGTTTCAGGTGTACATCGTTGTACTTCTATTTCTGCATAGATTACATCATGTTCACCACCAAAATACTAATTACAACCCATCACCACACACATGTACCGAATTATCCCTTTCACCCTCCTCCCTCCCCCCTTCCCCTCTGGTAACCACCAATCCAATCTCTGTCCCTATGTATTTGTTTATTGTTGTTATTATCTACTACTTAATGAAGGAAATCATACGGTATTTGACCTTCTCCCTCTGACTTATTTCACTTTGCATTATACCCTCAATGTCCATCCATGTTGTCACAAATGACTGGATTTCATCGTTTCTTATGGCTGAGTAGTATTCCATTGTGTATATATACCACAGCTTCTTTATCCATTCGTCCCTTGATGGGCACTTAGGTTGCTTCCAAGTCTTGGATATTGTGAATAACGCTGCAATGAACACAGGAGTGCATGTACCTTTGCAAATTGGTGTTTTCAAGTTCTTTGGATAAATACCTAACAGCGGAATAGCTGGATCATATGGTAGTTCTATCCTTGATTTTTTGAGGAATCTCCATACTGTTTTCCATAGTGGCTGTACCAGTTTGCACTCCCACCAGCAGTGTATGAGAGTTCCCTTCTCTCCACATCCTCTCCAACACATGTTGTTTCCTGTCTTGTTAATTATAGCCATTCTGACGTGCGTGAGGTGATATCTCATTGTAGTTTTGATTTGCATTTCCCTGATAGTTAGTGATTTTGAACATCTTTTCATGTGTCTGTTGGCCATCTGTATATCTTCTTTGGAGAAATGTCTGTTCAGGTCTTTTGCCCATTTTTTAATTGGGTTGGTAGTTTTTTTGTTGTTGAGATGCATGAGTTCTTTATATATTTTGGAGATTAACTGCTTATCACATATATGGTTCTTTACTTATCATTTTTATTGAGGCAAACAACAGTTATTTTCTGAAGTTTTTGTCCCTTAGAATGCACTTTTATTTCCTCTGATGAAGGAGCAGAAATGGAAACACAGGTCCTTTGATCATCAACAAATTAATTGTATTCATTGCCTGTAACATTCTGCCTGAATTCACGTGTGGAACTTCTATTATTACAATTGGCACGGATATGCCATTAATGTTAGGAGCAGCCACACTGGTAGATATCTCCAAATCATATTTTATAACATTTTACTGTAATTGCAATATTTTATGTATGAATAAATGTAGCGATCAACCTGGGTAGATATACCACTTGAATTTCAAATATCTTAAGAATTAATTTGCCTATTTTTAAAGAGACACTGAGATTCCAGAAAATGAGTTGTGTAAAATAAAAACCTGTATAAAAAGATCATAACTTAAAAATTAGGTAACTCATTCTATTCTCTCTTTATAGACACGTTAACTAAAGGAGATGTGTTTATACCACATTTGATCTGAGAGCACAGGGAACCATTAACGAGAGGGCGCCTCCTGGCAAGGATTCCTGTCCCAAAGCCTCCCAGGTGCGGACAGAGCTGGGTGAGCTGGTTTAGGGGAGAACGAACCTACAATGGCCAGTGACCAAGTAGGTTCTCCTTCTGTCATTGGCAATGAAGAGAGGCAATTCAGGTAAGAAACTCTCCGGCCTTGGCAATGAACTTATTGAAGGTGAGAAGGAGAGGAAGGTGTCTGGTCAAAGCTGATTCTGAGTTTCTAAGCTGTATGACTAGAAGGATGGATGGTGATGTCACTAAATAAGATGGAGAAAACAATAGGAAGAGTGTTCCCCAGGTACTTGCAGGCTGCCTGTGGGACCCACTGCCTTGGAATCTGCTGAAGTCCTGGGTGAGATATCAGAGGCTCTGCACTAAATAAGCCTCTTCTAAGTGACCATCAGTTCTAACCCCATCATGTCTCACCTTCCCAATTACCTGAGTAACCTCCAAAAGGCCAACCCTCTAGTCACCGAATGGCCCAATCTCATCTCTATATGCTGCCCTCCCTGTACATCTGCCAATCTGACCCAACCCCCAACCTTCCCACCCTCTCAAGTCTTTCCATTGTACCCTCAGGATCTTCAGTGCCGTGGTCAGCAAACTCCTCTAGATCCTTCACCTCTTTCCTGACCATTCCCCTCAGCTCCTCTCTTAACTGAAATATGCTCCCCCACCCTGACCCAGGAAAGACTGCTTCCTTTGCATCCTTCTCATAATGTAGGCTACTGTTTACTGTTAATAGTGTCATAGCCCTCAGGACTAGGAGAGGAGTAAGTATCTTTGTTGTTTCTATTATTGTCAGGTCATCATTTCCCACTATTCTCTTCCTTTGAATCTCATGTCATCTGGACATACAATCCTCATCCCTTCTTGTGTCTATCACCTACTGATCACTTCCTCTTATTTATCAAGGAATTTGGTTCTTGGTTCACTCTTTCACTCCATCCCCAAAATATCATAAGGATGATGATGATGGTGGTGATGGTGATGGTATAAATGCCGGTGGTGGAGGTGACGAAGGTGATGGTGATGGTACTGATAGAGGTGGTGGTGACGGAAGTAGTGATAGTGATGGAGGTGGTGATGATGGTGGTGGTGGTGATGGAGGTGGTGATGGTGGTGGTGGTGATGGTGATGGAGGTGGTGATGATGGTGGTGGTGGTGGTGGTGATGGAGGTGGTGATGATGGTGGTGGTGGTGATGGTGATGGAGGTGGTGATGGTGGTGGTGGTGATGGCGATGGAGGTGGTAGTGATGGAAGCAGTGGTGGTGGTAGAGGTGGTGGTGGTGGAGATGGTGATGGTGGTGGTGGTGGTGGTGTGTGGTTTTAGTAATAATAGCAAGCACTGACATAACACTGGCATATGCTTGGCACTGTTCTAAGCACTTTACATTCATGAACTCATTTAATCCTCACAAGAACTGTAGGACTTTTGAAGAAATTCAGGCACAGCAAGACAAGTAGCTTATCTGAGGTTGCACAGCTTGGATGTGGCAGAGACATGATTTGAACTCAGGTATTCTGACTCAAGAGTCCAGCTCATAATTCATACACTGCATTCATTTACTTTCATTAATCATTCTTGGTGACACCAGGATCCATGTGAATGACCCACTGAATACCCTACCTTCTTATCTCATGACCTTTGATCTCTAATGATCCTCATGTCCTTCCATTTCATTCCCCTACCCCCACACTCACACTTGAAATCTTGTCATCATCAAACACTGTCCTGTCGGGCGGAGCACATTTTCTCCACAATTGCATTTTGTTCCAAAGAGAGAGAGCTCCACTTACACAACACTCCAGGCTCCTCTACCCCCTCACTCCCCTCACTCCAAGCAGGTAAAGAAACTTATCTGACTGGGAGGGGGCGTTTGCAGAGACAGTTTCTACTCATCAAATATCCCATGTGCCCCGTATACTTCCCAGCCTCCCATGCAGTTGATTTGGGTCCACAGATCTAGTTCTGATCCATGGACTGAATGGAAATGACATTGGTCACTTCCTGACCCAGAAAGTGTAGACCCAGTACCTCATCCATCTCTCTCTTCCCCCGACTGTGATGACTTCAGAGGCCATATGCTCCAGGTGGTACAGCCACCACCAGATGGCGAGGCCTCCACCAGGTATTCCCAGGGTAGCTGTAGAGCTAAGGACTCACCCGACTTATGGAGGAAAACAGAAGTAGGGTGCTGCTGTACCAGCAAACTCCCAAAATATACGTCATTAGCTCAGCTCTGGGGCAGCAGGTGGTTAGGAAAGTCCTCTCAGCAGCGGGAAAGATGCAGATACACATTCGGAAACCTAGCCCCTTTCTCTTTTTGGGGGGGACTGAGATGCCTGCATAGTGCACACACTCTGCTCTGCTCCTGCATGCTCTAGTGTCACAAGAAGTCTCTGCAGGGGAGCCCTGCAAACGCCAGGATTTTGGACTTCCCACCTCCAGATCTGTGAGACAATAAATGCTATTGTTTAAGCCACCGAGTCTGTGGCAGTTACTTATGCAGCCCCAGGAAATGAACGCATCTTCCAGTGCACTTGCCTGGCGAATGCCCAACATGGCACAACCTCAGTCATCCACCTTTCCCAGGCCTGCTCCCAGTCAGCTGAGTCCCACTGGAGGAAACTGCACAACGGCACAGACCGGGTTCACTTTACATTCGTAACTCCAGATTGCAAGTGGGTGAATCCTGTCACATTTCTCTACCTGCAGCTATCCCAGTTTCCTCCTTCTTCTGAACTTCCAGCTGTGGAGAGCGTATGCATTCATGAAGTAGAGTAGAAGGGAAAATCTTGGGAGCAGAGACATTCGGAGAGAGCTGCGAGGTCAGGACTTGAGTTCCCGCTGTGGGCGCAGGGTCACCCCAGGTGACAGCAGCAGCCAGGTGGAACGGGAGCACACGGCAGATCCAGATTTCTCGCAAGATACGGGATAGAAGTACAGCAACACCTCCAACCCTTTTCCCATGTCTTTTCTCCACATAATTAATCTTGGCAATTTCCCATACATCTCCCCACAAGATGTGCTTGCACACACCACACACACACACACACACACACTTAAACACAGCACAAAGAAAAGAATATACTTTAGATTCCATTCCCTCAAATACACACATTTCCCTACTTACAAAGACATTCAGGTATTTATTTTACTTTTCCAAGTAGGAAATTATTTCTTAAAACCACATCTGTCATTTAGCACAATTACCAACAGGTAATCAGTAAGCATAGTGTTAAATTATCATCTTGTTATCTCGAGGTATAATCACATATCTACAGACAAAGCAAGGAAAAATGTTTCTCTTTGATGTGACTTTTGAGATCTGTGTGTGTGTGAGTGTGTGTGTGTGTGTGTGTGTGTGTCTAGGAGCAGTCCCTTCTATGAAACTAACATCCTGGGCTTTGAAGGCCAAGCGCTTGGGTTTAAATTTTGATTCTTGGGCTTCTTGGGTACGTGATTTGTGAAAAGATCTAACCTCTTTCAACCTCAAGTTCCTCATTTGTGAAATGAGGGCAATAAAATGCAAGATTCAAATGAAATAATGCATGTAAATTGCCTACTAGAGCCCCTGATATGTGGGAGATGCTAAATAATTTCCTTCCCTACCTACAATCTAAAAATACAAGGCTATAAGGGGATTAGTCCCTAAGCAAAAGAACGCTTTTAAATAAATTATCCTTAGATGCTTTTCTGCTTGCCAATTACAACTATTCACAACAATAAAGTGATTAGGCAGAATAAGAGCAGACTTAAACGTACTTTTTTCCACCGAGCAGGAATTCTGGCGTCAAACATGCAATTCAATGCATTTCGTAGATTTTCACTCATGATGATGGTGCCATCAATAGCAAGTTTCAGTTCGGTCAGGGTGCTTCGGACCAGAGTGAGTACCCTCTGCATTCTGTCTATCTCCTGCCTGAGGAAAATGTTCATCGGCTGGAACGGCCCCATCTTCTGCAGCATCTCTTTGACCTGCCATGGAGATATTCAGCGCATGTTAAAAATTGGACAGTTACTAATGTTTATGCAACTGGTACCCTTGGGCTTCTGAAAAGGCCTGAAATTTTACAATGCCATAAATAGTAAGCTTTTATTTTTTTTACTGCCAGAAAGCAGAGAAGAAATAAAAAAGAAAACATCTGTTAGATGACCAGCCAATTCTTCATCCCATGTGGAAAAGAACAGGCAGCCATTAATTCACAAAAGAATATAAAATGTACAACCACACAGCCTTCCAAATAGCAAATGCACCTACTGGGAAATATTCACTTACTGCCAATCTCAGATTTCCAAACACACACAAACGCACATGTACACATACAAAACCATTCTGCTGGTTGCCTCAAAAAACTAGACTTTATTTTAAAAGCTTTCTATTTTTTCCATTGGAGCATCCATTCATTCATCTACCCACCCACCCGCCCATTCATTTCCATCTTGCAAGTATTAATTGAGAGTCTTCTATGGATCAGATATTGTGCTAGGGTGAGTTGCTTTGTCCTAAGGCAGCACTGACAAATTCAGCAAAAGGAGAGAGACACTTCTAAACCCCATTATTTATCATATTTATTTAAGTAATTATTATTATATTTTTAGATATTTTTACTGCTTCATAAATATTTCAACCACTGTTAGATAAGAATGACCTCTTTCCTGATATGATAATGAAAGGTGCTTATGAAAGCTGATAGTAGTATTGATTTTCTCCAAGCAAGTGATCAGAGTTTCTTCCCAGGGAAATAATTCCCTTGGTGACAGGTCCTTGAGTTCAGTCTGTAGTCCTAACAGCCAAAATGGCCTGCTTTGTGGAAAGTAATAGGATGCTAAAGAAAGAAAAGGCTGCAGGTTTCCTTTTGAAAACCAGGTGGAAGAGGGGTAATAGACAAAGAAACGTGGTGGTCCTGTGACAAAAGTATCACACAGTTAGTCCAGGTCATCTCATAAGACTCCATGGAAAAAGTAAGCCACTTACTTTTGCTTTTATCAAAGATTTCCAAATGTTACCATGGGAAATCTTTTCACAATATTTGGTAAAATGTCTAAAAAATCATACATTTTGCTTAGAAGTTACTCACCTATTAAAAAGACAAATCAATTTTCAAAACCTACAAGATGAAGAAGCTGCAAAGAGCTAATGATATAAATATACACTCCCTGAAATTAAGAAGGCCTGAAATTTAAGGTGTGCATTAAATTACACAGCATTTATTTAAATAATCAGGCGCTTTACTCTAAGAATACATTACTTTCCTTTGAACAAATGACAACGTGAAGTACGTCACGGGAAAATTCTAGAAAAGCAATCCTAACCCATCAGTGTAGACACTTGTAATTTATTTATGAATATTAACATTATCATCAGGCTTCTTTATGATTATATTTTGAAATGATTACATTTATAGATTTAAAAACTTCTTTTTCTGGTTCTTCAGGAAGTGAATTTTTTAGATAATTTTTTAATTTCAGAAAAATTATAGTTGCCCTCGTTCCTCAAGCCTCCCAACCAAACAGACACATGCACAGCTGACATTTTGTTAGGGTTTCAACTCACTTCAAATGGACCATAGTCTGGGGGCAGCTTTTCCAGCATATCATCAGCCAGCCGGGCCACCACAGCCTCCCGGGTCTCGTCCCCTCCTGCAGAGCTGTCCTGGGGCTGGATGCCCAGGATGGTGTCCAGCACATCCTTGCCCAGCTTGCTCTGGTAGGTGATGTCGGCATTGGGGTGCAGCCCAAACACCTCGGGGCTGTCATAGGTGGGCAAGCTCTGAAGGACAAGACCCCACGTAAGCACAGACTACTGACGCAAGCAGTTAAATTATACTGTCTTAGGAAATACACACGTTTTTGTTAGGATAAGCATTTACATGATATGTCTTACTTGTGTCAGGCTACAATCTGAATAATTTCTACAGAAAAGGGTCAAAAGTTTCCTTGAAAAAAATTAACATTGAGAAACATTATTCTTTAAGGTCTGTACCTCAAGTAAATTTAATCAGAAATACTGTCATGTTTTATAATATGTGAGATGGAAAGGGACCTGTGGATTGGTATTTTGTTTTGTGAAGATCTAATCTAACTCAAACCAGTTGTTTAAATGTTGTATAACTAATGGTTACTACGATTAAGACACCAGAAAATTACAGTTTTAACAATTATGACCCAAATAAGGCTGCAAGTGGGAATTGTACTCTCCTAGGGAGAAAGACAGAGATTAGGAAAAAAGAAGTATTGAGAGAGCAACAAAATCAGAGATAAAAACAGACAGCAAAAGACAATCAGAAGTAGAAGAAGTAGCCAAAAACTCCTTAAGCTACTTGAAAAAAAGAAAATTTACCTACAATTTGACATATATTTCTTTGTGTGAATTGTATCCTTAACTTTATTATTGTCTTATTCATATTTTCCCTCCATTCTACTCCCTTATTTGATTCCTTTTTATATGTCTTCTTACAAGCTATCTCAACTTCATTGTGAAATTAGGTGTATATAAATAAACATATGTACATGCATACCTAAATTTATACCTTCATAGGCATTTTTCTACTCAGTGCTAATGATTTAAAGACACATATAGTACAGTTAAGACATATACACTTGTTGATTTGAATGAATAAAAGTGTAGAGGTGGTAATATATGATAAACTCATTACATTTATATATCACAGAACCTCTAAATGTACTGATAAATTTAGCCCTTTGGGGCTGTTGTGCTTTAGTTTGTTGACTCTAAGATAAATCACAGACAGAGGCAAAAGAGATTGCTAAATAATGATCTAATGCATTCAAGATATAGAGACAGGAAATGTAGTTACCTTGAAACACAAATCAAATTTTTTCCCAAGTTTCCTGTCAAAATCTTATTCCTTCTTAGAGCAGTGCTTCTCACTCGGGGGTGTTTTTGGCGATTTGGTGATGTCTGGAGACATTATTTAGTTGTCACAACTGGGTTGGGGGTGCTTCTGACATCTAGTGAGTAGAGACCAGGGAGGCTGCTAATGATTCTACCAGGACAGCCCCCCACTACAAAGAAGTATCCAGCCCTGAATGTCAATGGTGGCGAAGTTGAGAAACCCGGTCTTAGAGGAAGCCCTTGTACAGAGCGGGTTCCCGAACCTACTCATATGCTGCCCATTAGGCCAGGATTAAGGAACAGATGTCACAGGATAAGGCAAGTGTTTTGAAAAACAGAACAGACTGAGACAAGAGGCTGTCTTTGTCCTATTACCACAGGGAGCTGAAGTCTTATGGCTGAGAGTTCCAGGGGATTTGTGTAGGTTCTCGAGTTCTAAATCTGCCCCATCTATCATCTCCCCAAACAATATTCCTCACTGAGGCATTAAAAGAGAAGAGAGGGAGGGAATTCACACAAAACACACACTCAGAACAAATATAAACATTCTAATCATTAGATGAATATAAACATAGGAAGAAAGCATCTATGGTGGAAGTTTCAATATGTGTCACCATTAAAGTTTATTTTAAAAGAAGTACTTGCAGTGTAAATAAATATTGGAAAGGTCAAATGGCTGCCGATATTTGCCCTATGCATAAAATTCTGAAGTTGACAAACCTGAATATAGTGAAGATAGTTATCCACCGTGCTGCATTTTGGAATATTATATCCTTGGTAAAAGCTGAAATCTGGTCCAAACATATTTTCACTGAACCAAACCTTAGCAAACGTGTTCAACAATCTCTTATCGTAGTCATCAGTGACTCTGCCTCCATATTGAATCTCCCCTATCATGTAGCGGATGGTGGTCCAGGAGACGCCCTGGGAAAATTTATAAAATAATATTGTAGAACCGACTACTATCTCATCCTCATTTTCCGTGCCAAATAACATCTATGTTCATTGTCATCGATGTCATTCATTCATTCATTCATCTATTCATTCTTCATCAGTAATGCGAAAAGTCCAGAAAGGAAATGAAATAGGCAAACACGAACATTACTCAAAGTTCGTGTTCATGATTTGAGGGAAACTCCCTGATGCATTCATACGTTTTCATACTTTAATTTCAAAGGAAAAAATGTTCATTTTTTGAGAATATTGAGGCAGTTCTTTAAAAAGCACACACTTCAAAATTAATCTAGACTCTTATTTTCATTTTTTAGGATTTTAAAAAACAAGTTTCCCCATTCAGTTTCCCCCCACCCCAACAGACCCTTTTAGGTTGTCTTATATGTAATGTCAACTTGCCTTTGAAAAATAAAAATATAATCAAAATTTGTCCATTTTTTACCTGAACTCAAGAGGCAAGTATGACCCAAGTTGCTATGATTTAAAGATTATGACTTTGCAAGCACAGAAAATCATCACTCTTACAGGATTTACCCCAAAGCTGGGCAGTCATGTTAGATCCAAGCCCACAATCCCCAGTGGCATGAAGCAGTGCACACAACAATACCTTTTTGATATCCATGTCATCTAAGTGGTTTTGGATGAACTGCACAGTGGCATTAAAGTCGGCTTGATTGAATTCATAGGGGATGTTCCACCCCAGGGGACCAAACTTCCGCCTCTCCTGGACCGTGGAGTGCAGGAAAGCCACTGCATACAGCATGGGCTTCCACTGGGCCACGGTGCTCACATCCAGCAGGTCTTGGCTCACACCTGTCATGGCCAGTTGGGTGAAAAATTGTGTCATCTCTCAAATATCTTTATTTTCTGTTATTTTTATGTTATTAATTATTTTTGTAAATTCCTGATATTAAACATCGCTTATCATGAATAATTTTTATCACATTCATATGACAATTATAATTTAACTTTTGGGTGTCTGGAGGGCATTTCTCTCTGAAAACTGCAAAGAGATTTGGGGAGTGAGGTCTTGCTAATATGGGTCAAGTTCCTGCTGATCTAACAAGATAATGTGGGGATAAAAATAGAGGTGGAAGAGTGATGGCAATAAATAAATACTACTACTACTGCTGATAATAATAATATATAATAAATGGAATAATTATATACATCATAATAATTATTATTATTTGGGGCATGTACTCAGGTTGAATACGCTTTTATACACTACTAATAATTTAAAATTAATTAGTATGGTTTATATAGAAGCCCACTGCAGTCTGACTATATGTCCCAAATAATTATGATTATTATATACGTATATATTATTATATATCTTTTCATTTGGTAATTTTTTTAACTGTCATGATCCTTCCACATCTATTTTATCCCCATATTACCTTGTAGATTGGCAGGAATTTGAGCCTTGTTAGCAACTCTAAAAAAAAATCTCTACAGATTTTTGAGATTGACATGTAACAATTATTATATTCATTATTATTATTAAGTACACTATTTTATTATTAAAGAATAAAATTTTATTAAATAAATTTTATTAAAATGTATTCCAATTGTCCCAGATAGATTTTATTGTCCCTATTTTGCATACAAAAAAATTGAAACTCTGGTTGTTTGAGTGACCAGCCACCAAGAGAACAAAGCATTTGTTCAGGAAGGACCAGAATTAGGATTTCTGACTTCGAGGTCCATGCTCTTTTCATGACCCCAAGTCCCAGACAGGAAGCTATGAAGCAGAGGAAGCAAAGGCAAGGAGAATAACCTCAGTCCCAGGTGTGATTGGAGGGGCATTCTCGTCTGGTTTGCGGCTATTGTTTGATTTCTAACTTAGCTAACATTCTGACATATGGCTTCATGAAATGAAAGCAGGCCATAATTTTAATACAGCCTCTCCTCTTGGAAGAGGCTACTGTCCTACTTTAGGTATGGAGCATGAAGACCATAAATGATGAAATTATCAATTTTAGATGTTAGCATGAAAAGGCAGGTGTCTGGCAGAGAACAGCAATATTGGGAAGTAGAGCAATATTGGGAAAATAGGAAAAATATAAGGTGGGAAATCCCAGCTCTGATGCCCTAACATTGCCAGAGTATATTCCACACGGAGCATGCCCAAGGGGTCTATCCCCTCCCATCATGTTAAATAATAGTACTATGTGCTATAATATCTCAGCCAATTCTGTTTTTATAATTTCTTTAAGAAAACAATTTAAGTACAAGAATCCCACAAACTTGGAAGTATTCCTTGACTTACCACCATATGTTCTTTTCAATCCTGCCCGGAGGCCCTGTGGAGGCTCATTGGCAAATTTAATGGACATCTGAAGGAGTGTAATGGGAAACTGCTTATGAACCTCAGTGGTCACCCATAGGCGGAAAGCATTGTGCACAATCTCAGTTTCTATAATTGTATCCATTAGCTCATCCATGAAATCGAGTCCCAGATGACAATTCTGCAGAAGGGCCCATCCTCCCTAAGTCAACAACAGTAAATGGAAATTAGGCTACTTTGTGTTTCACCCAGAGATTTAAATTAGTATGTTCTTTAGAAATTAAGTGAGGAAAATTTAATAGAAAACCACAATAACCACTTTAAATTAATCTAGGTCAAATCTAAGGATAAAATACTGTTTAACTGACATAAGATATATTTTTTTCTTGTTCCATGTATTTGTCCCACAGTATACTAGCACGCCAATCATAGTAATAATATATGGTAGGAGTTATGAAAATAACCAAAGTCAAACATAAAAAGAGATAACAATACTTCCAAGTAAAGATGGTTGATTGAAAAGATCTGTTGAGCTCAGCTCCCTCCCCCAAACTCCATGAAAACTACAGTGAAGGGACTTTTTTAAAGGCATGAACTCTTACGGATAAAGACAGTGAGGGTGAAAACAATATCAATTACATTTAAAATGGACTCAAGAAAGTGGAATTCGCAACTGGCATTTGGGGAAAGCTGAGACGCAGCCTATTTGTACTACATAACTCCCCAAACACTCAAGAACAGGTGACGAGAGGTCCCTCTGGAAGTGGAGTAAGAAGATAGGCTAACACAAGATTGCAAGTCCAGACCCCCGACATGTTCCTGGCTCTCCTAAAGCAAGATGGAAAGCCGATTTTCTTTGGACAGCAAAACAGACAGGGTTTGGAGTAGAGACATCACCATATTAAGGGTATAAGAATCTCACTGAAAACAGGTAAAAGAAAGTTTGGGGCTGGCCCCATGGTGTAGTGGTTAAGTTCAGTGTGCTCTGCTTCGGCAGCCTGGGTTTATGGGTTCAGATTCTGGGCACGGACCTAACCCACTCATCAGCCAAGCTGTGGTGGCAACCGACATAGAAAGTGGAGGAAGACTGGCACAGATGTTAGCTCAGGGCTAATCTTCCTCTGCAAAAATAAAATAAATAAACTTCAGCACATGAATTTTGAGACCTACTCCTCCCTTCTCCCACTGAGTTTCCCAGAATACTGGCAGCGGGGCATATATTCTCTAGAATGTGGAGGAACCTTCTCTGGGGAATCTGACCACTCTAAGAACAAGAGCCTTAGAAAACAATAAGCCATATCTTTCCTATAAATTATTCTATAAGCATAAGAAGTTTCCTTGCATAAAGCAACACAAGCAAAATTTTAGGTCATGCATTAATAATTTACTCAATATCTAATCTATAGAATATTTTTGCTAAAATCATCTACAATATCCAGATCATAATCTTGAGTTGTTTTCTTGACTCTGTAATTTTGGATCATCTAGATTTGTCTAGTGCAGCCTGAGTTATTTCTCTTTCCAAGAAACAAAGCAAGCACCAGATCAAAAATCTTAGTAGAGTTACACATAAAACTGATCATTTTGGAATTTCACACATTCCCTTATATTTTCTTCAGAAGTATAGAGCCCTGCTGAATAAACAAACTATCTAATTTTTGTCCTTTGAAAAATTTTATTGATACTGCCCAAAATTCAAAAAAAAAAAGAAATTAAATATAAAGCATAACAGCAAAAAGGCTTTAGTTGCTCTCTTGCATCCAGCACACAGGTGAATCCTCATCTAAGTTTCTTAGGTAATAACTTGGATGCTTCAGTCTTCACCCAGGGAATCCCTTAGCCAAGGTTGTTCTTGGGTACTGCCGCCTTCTGTACTAAAGGTTCTGTTGTTCTTCTTACTGGGTAGATCATCCATTTTGCTACTCTTGGGTAGTTGGTTCATTCTATCATATTGCCTCAAACCTTTCTTACAAACTTTTAAAAAACCTATTGTCTCTGACAAGTTATAAGCATGCTAGTAATAGGAAAAACATTTTTCATTTTACTTAAAATTAAACTACTAAACAGAAAACATGAATAAACTGAAGGCTAAAAATATCCCATTTAAATTCTAATTTAGTTGCCTGAAACTATAATTATTAGTTATGCAATTATTTATTTTAAATTCAAGTTAAATAAGTGCCCTATTAATGTTAGTGTTTTTGTTCCAAGTACAGTAATAGACAGAGGGAGAAATAGAGGAGAAGAGAGGAGGGCGGGGAGAGGAGGGAGGGGCCAGGATGGAGGCCCATCAAGCCTTCATGTTGAACCAGACCTGGGATTCTTAAAGATAGATGTATTTTTTCATCTCTGGACACAATTCAATCACACCCTTTCTGCCCTTTCCCTCCCAACTGCAAACTAAGTGCATCAGACACAGCATGGCACACGTGAGGGGCCCCTCCCTTTCACCAAAGCTGGGGGGAGGGTATGGCTTGGGATGCAAGTGCCTCAAGGTAAATATGGAGATTCTAGAACCCAGTGGGCTGAGTTCTAGACCAGGGGAAAGGGACCAGGAGGTAGCACAGTGGTAAGGTTCTAGATTCAGAAGCCAGGACCTAAAACTCAGTGATTTCATGGTGGGCTGAGCAGCTGGGGGTTGGGAGAATGAGAAACAGCCAGTTCTATCCTCAGTAAGGGGATTCCCTGGAGAGCACAGAAGGAGTCTTGAAACATGGGGGAGAGCTCAGTCTCAGGGAAGAAGTAAGGTCTGGTCCAGAAAAGTCCAGAAAGGGCCAGAGAGGCATCTAGACCAAGACTGCATTTTCTCCAGTATGAATGAGAAGCCAAGTGGTTCTGCCACCTTGCTAGGCCAAAGTGTGGAGGAAGAGGGGAGCAAGAGTGAAGGGATCCTCCAGGCAGAGCCAGACACCCCAGAAAAGGCTAGACCAAAGTAAATACGTGAGTGCCCTGTCCTGGAGCCCAAGTTCTGGAGTTGAAATGGAGGGCCTTCTGCATTCAATTAACTTGAGTCCATGAAAGTGCCCCAGCTCTGGCCTTGATTGTCCCTAGCAGGGACGCCATGTGGTTTCCAGCACTTAGAGGCTCCCACGCCAGGCCTGAGCATGACATGCTCTGTATGCTGTAGACTTTACAAGCCACAACGGGCTCCAGGAGCCCCACCCTGGAAGGCGACAGGCCAGGTTTCCTAAAACGTCGGGCACTGTCTCAGGGTAATCACAGATGCCTGGCCTCTGGGACAGGGGCCAGGCCTGGGGGACTCCAGGGCACAGATTAGGCATTCTGGAACCCAAGAAAGGTATGGCATTGTGGATTCTGGAGTGTTGGGGACTCCAAGAGCAGAGCTAAAGTGGCTGGAATATTTGGCAGAGGGGGCAGGGCTGTGAAACCCACAGAGGTTTGGGATCTGGAGTGGGTTTAGCATCACGCGAACTGGTTGGGAAATAAGATGTTCTGGTTGGGTAAGTTTTCCATAGGTCGAAGCTCAGCATAAAAAGTTTTACACTGTATGTGTTTTTCCACGAAAATTTTCTAGAAGACATGACACTTTTCTCTACTTAGTAAACAGCATGCAGTACGTAAATTTAAACTCTTAATGATTCATAAGCTCTTTCCTGCATTGCTACTCCCTAACCTGTAAAAACAACAGCACAACACACAAGTGGACATTTGGCTCACATTCGCCATGGTCTGCTGTAAGAGCTTCCGAGCACGCGCTTCCTGGCCCTGGCCCATGGACACATAACGGGTGTCCATGCTTAATCTCCTCCCCAAGGCGATGATAGAACCCGCGGGGTCTGAGCCCATAGACAAGAGACAGATGAGTGGTGTCCTCGGATCAGATTCCTCCCACGTCTTTTCCAAGTCCAGGATGACCCCTTCTGCATAGTTCGCTCCCATGGAGTCCGCGATGTACTTGCGGGCCTGCCAAAAACAATACATGCGTCACCAAAACTAGTTCCAACTCCGTCATGGATATAACGCGGTGTGATTTCCAAAATTCAATTTTGCATATTATCTCAATGATGTCCACAGTAACCCTGCCAGTGAAATAGAGCTGAGAAGTCTTGTCTGTTTGAATCCCCACTCTGTAGATGGGGAGGCAGTGTCACTTGCCAAACTCACAATCATACCGTTAGAACCAGAAGCCAAGTTGGCTGACTCCTCATCTGGGATCTATAACAATACAATGGCTGCTTCCTGCTAGACATAAAAAATAAAAATATTAGGCAATTCTATTATTTAGAATGCTTTGAGGGAAATGTATGCATTCGAATAATCAAGTAAGCAGCACAATGTCTGGAATTTAATGGGTACTTATCAAATAAATAATTACTGAATGACCACTTACTGAATGAAATTTATTGGATACTTATTGAATGAAAGAATGAATTTTTTAAAGATTTAATCCATAAGTTTTCTCCTAATCATTGTCACCATCCCTTTCCGTTTTTGGTTTATCCCCTTTACTATTAATTTTTTCTTTTTTTACTTAAATCCATGCTCACAATATCACAGACTTTGTCAAGTACATTATCAACTATATAAAAATATTTCTAATAACAACATAGTCCTTTTTTCAAACAAGGTAAAGAATTATTATTTATTTTTCAACAAATACTATTGTGAGTATGACCCTTGGTATAAATTCTCCCCCTGGTAAATAATTGGATTCCCTCAAAAAATTTTTTTTCTTCCTATTCTGATATCTTCTCCACCCCAAGGGGGTAAAACCCAAGTTTCTCTCCTCAGTGGGATTCCCCAGAAGAATCATTCTCACATAATAAGCAGAGTCCAGCTGTGGGTGCAACATGACCCGTAATCTTTCCAAGGGCTGGGTAAGCGAGCCTCCCCACTCCCATTCCTAGAGAAACACAAAACAGCTGTAGGCAGGACTTCCCTTAAATCAGAGAAGCTTCAGATAGACCTGGACCAAAGAGGAGGTGGAGATGGTTAAACTGTTGTCTTTGACTTAAAAACATCCAGAGTTTGATTTCAGTCAGTAATATAGGCTCTTCCTCCACTTTGAGTATCTAGCTACACTCTATATATCCTCAAAGTTATTGCCATACCCCAGGTCTCTGATATTACAAATTAGGATGATGTCCCCCACTCATGTTTACCATCTTTGCAGGTTAGAGTGGGAGGGTAGTGGCTACATAAGCGAATCTTCCAGCTTACCTCTCTATCTCCTCTCGAATCTTGGCAAAAGGCGAAATGGGTGCCAGCTGTCTAGACTGTTGAATGCCCAGAGTGTTTCTCCTGATTCCTTCTGGTTTGTGGACATTCCCCAAACAATCTTTATCATCCACATCACGGGGTAAAGGATCTCTTTTCAAAGTAGTCTGCCATGAAATACCCATCTTCCCCATAAGAATGCAAAGATAAAGATGTGCATTCCCATTCCCTAAACTCATAGTAGCTAATTCGGAAAGGGTTTGGCCATTTTGCTATGGGGTCCCTTCTCCTTCTTTCAAGTCATAATCCCTCCCCATAATGTTCAGGCCACCACATCAATGGCAGATTAAGAGGCATGCCAATTTGGTAAAGTGTACAGGTTTTCCTGCCTTGGCAATTATCTCTAGATGACTTTGGGGAAAGGCACCCCACCCGGCCTCCCAAAGGTCCAAGAAGCGGCAGTTGGGGCCCCGGCTGGCAGTGTTTGGCCAGTGGCAATGAAAGAACCCTCTGGTGCATGGGCCCCCCACTCACGGAGATGATCGCCCATTCCTCACTTCTTTACTAGCTTCATTGCTTGGGAGAAGTTCTGATGAGGTGGACTTCAGTCCAGTTGAATTTGGAGCACAGGATGCCATTTATTTTTGTATCTCAATATTTCTTCTAGATTGGCCACATCCAGTATCAAATTCTCTAACCTAAGTATAAATGCCTGCACATTTTTTCTGCAGGCCTCTGACATGTTCTTTGGCTTCTCTAAAAGTCTTCTCTAGGTGTGCATTCAGTCACAGTCATTGAGGCAGTGTGCTTTGTGATCAGGAAGGACTTCAAAGGCTGGATGCTTAGGCATTCTACAAGTTTCATTCTCAGCCACGGGTACTTGCCAGCACTGCAGCATCTCTATAATGTACCTCATCAAGATCCAGGTGCTTTCCACTCTGGGAGAGTGAGGAGTTCAAAGTGGCCAATACTGCCATAGAACTCAGCATTGACCCAACATGGACATCACCATCCACGTTATGAGCTAACATGCTCTGTTGCATACATCAGGGGCCAGATGGTAAATATTGTAGGCTTTACTGGCCACACAATCTCTGTTGCAACAACTGAACTCTACCATTGCGGCACAAAAGCAGCCATAGATAGTCCATAAACAAATGAGCATAGCTATGTTCCAATAAAACTTTATAGTCACTGAAATTTCAATGTTATATAATTTTCAAATATCACAAAATATTATTCTTCTTGTGATTTTTTTCAGGAATTTAAAAATCTGAAAACCATTCTTAGCTCACCAGCTGAACATATACATGCAGTAGACCAAATTTTATTAGTGAGCCCTAGTTTGCCAATCCCTGTAATAGACTATGGGGAAGTCTATTTTGCAATTAATGGAAATTATGACTGAAGATCCTTTCTGGGGATAAAATTCTTGTTCCTGGGAAAAAGACATTTTCTAATAGGGTAACAGCCATTGGTTTAAACCGTGTCCAAGTTTAAGTGTTGTAATGAGTCTGCGGCACAAATACATATTATGTGAGGATACTCGACCATTCCAAATAAGCCTGCAATGTAGTGAGCATGGAAAAAAAGCATGTGTGTGCTAGAAAGAGTATGTGCTACAAAGAGTGCATTTCTCCATTTTATAAAACTTAAACTCCAATCCAACACCCTGCACTGAGCAAGTAACAGCAAATAAACTAGTTTTAGGACTTTACAGCTTACAGGGTGATATGAAAGCACAAAACAGATTATTCTTGCAGGAATATATCAGGGAAGGCTCCCTCATGAAAGGAGCATTTAAGGTGATGCTGGGATGATGAGTGGGATTTATCTAGACAAAGAGGACAGCTAGGCAAGTCAGAGTGGTGAGCATTTCATGCAGAGAGCACATACGCAAGACCTTGAAGTAGAAAAGAGCAAGTCACCAATTGGGGACAGAAAGACATCCAGTATAACCCATGTAAGATCCCAGTGTGGGCCAGCCAGGCTTCTGCACAGCCTGCTGATCTATAAAGAAAGCTAACACCTCATTCGCATGAATGGAAATAGAGTACCACATTTTCACAGGTTACTCTTCACACAACCCTGAAGAACATTTTTGTCCCAATATCTGGTCCCAATGACACAGACTCAATCTTTGAGTCGGGGGAAAAAACTGAACAAATAAACCTCTTTACCTGTTCTGACCTCTCTTTGTTGAGTATTTTTGAGACACAAATGTGTATGTAGCATGAGATGCCCTCTGACGGTGTGTCATTCTTGCAGTTGAACGTCCCCTGATGTGGGTAGTCATGCTCAGCGAAAATGCTGAGAACAAGCCTGATGCTGCTTATGGGGAATGGGAATTGAATGCATCAGCACTGCCGACCTCCTAATATGCTTCCAAGAAAGTATCTGGTTGAAAATCACCAGGAATCAAAAGGAATCTAATGCGAGAATAACAACTTCAGAGGAGAGAACATTTTTCCAGAGGAGTCTTCCAGACCTTGTTTAAGACTTGGGTGTTATCAAAAGGGTCATATTAAGCCATTAAAGGAATGGAATAATCACATTTCCATTCCTTTTAGAATATGAAGGATGGACTAGAGTGGGCAAGAATGGACTACAGGAGCCCACTTAGGAAGCCATGGCTGTCATCAGTCTATGGATGACACAAGGCAGGATGCAGATGACAAAGTAACAAAGGAGTGGGGGAGACTTAAATTTCAGCATTGAACCAAAGGAAGTGTTACGGGTTAAAAAAGTGGAAAAGGGAGGGAAGGAGGGAGGGAGG